CGGTGTTTTTTGTTTTTTTTTTACACAAAACACAAAGCTCCATCTATTGGTGGGGAGCAACACCTGCTGGAAACCGGGTCCAGCGTCCCATAGTTACAACCATATCCTCACGAATTGGCACGAACTGGGAACCAGGCCCGGCGTCCCATAACGAGTACATTCAGAAAACTCATCAGGAAATTTCACGACAATGAGACTAGGAACCTAGTACTAGAAAACTCCAATTGGCCTAAGGATGGAATTTTGAAAATTAAGATACCGGGGCCATTACCCGGTGTTGGCTCAGAGAATTGGGGCTACTTCAGACCTGTCTATGACAACATCATGATTCAGAAACGACTCATAAGAATCCCCCATCAATCCACTTTACCTCCCTCCGGCAAGACTGACTGCAGCGGAGCCACCATCTTTGCTGCTGCTATACCATACTCCCATCCTATCAGCTAGCCCCCTCACTGTAGGACGCGTGATAACCCACCATCTTCTCTCACTCTCCTTATTCTTTTTTCCAAAAAATAAAAAGGAAAATTAGAGAAACGAAAATCAGAGTTGAACCACYATCAATCCAAACCAAACCCACACTACAGGCGAGAAACCGTCACTCAAGCTTTCAGTCCTCGTACCAGAAGTCGCCAGTTCTCACACCCCCCTTGCTAGGGTTACAAGGCAACACAAGCTGCCCCAGCACCGAACTGGCTGTTTTCTGACGGACAGGAAGCATCTTCCTCCCTCGACACCTCCTTAGCTGCCAAACCCCCTACCGGGTTACAGGGTCACTGCCCCAGATTCAGCTACGTTGAAAGAGGTGGTTATGCCTTCTCCCCCTGACAAGCTCCAATGGCCTCAAGCTCCTCCCATGGTAACAGAGCCACTGCTCCAGCACCGGCCACTGTCGCCCCACCCCGTCCTTCTAATACACTTACCACCCTGAGCCACCCTTCCCCTCCTGCATGAGCCCACCCAAAATTTCTTCCAAATCATGCTTCCGATTTCGCTCTCCATTTGAAAAAACAAGAGGAGGAA